ATGCAGTTACGTTCAATTGATTGCACTATGGCTTAGTTGCAGAGCTAGCTCAGGGCTTCTTACTGGGCCTAATTAGATGTTGTACAACTTTTTTTCTTTATTTCATAACGAAGGAAGAGGTGTGTAAGTCAATTACAAGAGGTATTTGTTCCTATCTAGTAGTAGATGCTGTCCCAGACACTCAAACAGTTAATGTTCTGAAAAGCAGTAGCTGGGAGAGCTTTCCACATTTCTGGTTTGAGGAAAGTTTAAGTTACCTGCTGTCTTAAATACCTGCCAGCTTTGTGCTGGAGTGCATAAGGTTGTCAGCCAAGCTAGGTAGACGTCTTTGGCATGTCTGGCTGGCCTGCCAATACTCTGAGACAAAAAAGTATGTGGTGGGTTTTTTTAGTTAAAAGAGGGAAGGTGGAACGAGAAATAATTGTACTTGTGTCACCATCTTCTGCTTGATCACGCAAATGTGACAAATTTGGGGTAGGAACTTGTCTCTCCAGCCTTCTGAAAGGTCCAAGGTCCTCTAAATGTTTTGGGAAATTAGTGACATTTTTAATTGGTCTAAGACTTGATATTCTAAAGGTTCCTTCTTAGGCAAGAAGGAAGGGCCCTGGAGCTGCCTAGCCGCCTGTCCCTTTGATCCACAGTTTGGCCATCTGACCCTTGGCAAGTGCCCCATCTTCTCTCTGTCCATTAGTTCTCAAATCATCGCAGTAGTCTATTTTTTGCCTTTGTGCATATGGGGAAAAGAAGGTTGAGGCAAACCAGACTTTGAACCAGCAAGACTATACCTCTGGCAAAGAAAACCTTTCTTTTCCTCCAGCTTCTTTCTCTTAGTTTCATTTAAAGCAATTGGCAGCTGGCAACTGAAAGGAGGGGGAAGGACTAGGAGGAGGAGAATGCTTTCTCTTTTTTTTTTCTTTTTTTTTTTCTCCTCTTCTTTTTTTAAGCACTGTATATTACACTTAGCTTTGTGTTTAAAAATAAATAAATTTGAAGAGTATAAGGAATGTTGGTGGGTTGTATTTTGTTTCTGTTTGTTTCTAATGATTATATGACCACTTGGGTAATCATAGGCCTAGCTGAGTCCTGATGCAGCAAAAGGAAAGGTAGTTTTTGGCTCTGTTCATCCAAATTGTCATGTGCCATTAAAGGAACCACTCCTGTAGGAGACTGTGTCAAAAATTCAGCAGGTGTTTAAAAACCAACAAAAATTAAGGTGTTGGAGAGGGAGTCAGGAAAGTGTTTAATTCTTCTTTGACAGACTAGGACTAGGCAATAAATTACTGAGAGACCACAATGCTCCTAAAGTGGCATTTACACTCTGCAAAAGCTTGCTGAAAACTAGATTTAGAAAGGATTGTGAAGGAATAGGTGGAAAGAAGCAGCATAAAATTCAGGTCAGAGTTCATCTCTGAGCTGGCTGCAGGCGACTTTAGCTACTGCTTTGTTCATTTTTCTGAGCCACAGTGCTTGAGTTACCTGCTGCCCGCAAGCAGCAGTCAGTGGCTCCTGTGAATGTTCCTTTGTCAGCTTCTAGTCTACCCTTTTTCTTTGGTTTCATGGCAGTTCCCTGCTGCGAGAAGGGGAAGTTTACGTTCAGAGGCGAAACTTCAGGCGCTTACGTATCTTAATTCGTATTCAGGGCTCCTCTGTAGGAGGCGTGTCAGAGCTCAACAGACCAATTAAACTTTACCCCGTGCTACATCTTTGCATTATTGCCCCAGCACAAGAAATCCTGCCGGATTTGATGAAGTTTAATTCAACTCCTTAAGCTTATGGTGTGAGCAGTGACACTTTGTCACACAGAACAACTTTTAGGATTCTGTCTGCAACATAAGGATAATAAGTTGCATTAGTAGTCTGAGCAGGAATTTGAATTGAGCCACAGCTGGGAGCTTGCTTCCTCCAGCACTCACGGTGTCAGGCTGGTTTTGGATATTATTTGCATTGCTACTATAGGTTGCCTTCTATGAAAAGCTTTCTTTTGATACTGCACCAGAGTTGATAGTGAATGAAAAGAGCAATTTCTGTTGATTTGAGATCAAATAGCAGACAATCTGCTACATGAAACTGTTTCTCTGCACTTTATGTGAGAATAAATCCTCACCGATGATACACATCTGCTAAAACTGTGTGTCTCTATGTTTCTGGGCTGTTTTGACATCTTGTAGGCAACTGGTCATCTCTGCTCTAGAGATAAACATCTGTAGACCAAAGAGAGCATCGTAACATGTAAGAAGTCGATATATTTTTGTGGCATCTTCTTGAGCATACTAACTGTCAAATATTGCTCTGTCAAGACAGTAAAACTTGGGGTGATATCACGTGGATTGCCTTAGAAGGTGATTCTGTGATCATGCTGATAGTCAACTGTTCTGTGTGATGAGGTTTGACTTCAAATAATTTCTCTTTCTTTTGGTCACTACTGACGTAGTAAACTTAGGCAGTGAATGAAATTTAATCATAAATTATGCAGGATTTCCTGTGTTGGGGCAATAATACAGGTACACCATGGGATAAACTTTGACATGCCTCCTACAGGTGAGCCAGTATGCATGCACAAGAGTTACGAGATTGCCCAGTAGCCTTAAAAAACAACAGTTAATATAACTGTTTCCAAGCACACTTCACTAAGGATTCAGAAAGAAAGTGGGTTTGATATTTTACTTTGCCAATTTTGCCAGTATTTTTAAAGCTTCATTATCCAAGCGTGCTTATCTTAAAAAGGATGTGATGATTTAATATGAAGGAGATGCTTGTGTCTGAAAGTCTTTTAACTACTTTTAATTTTTTTATTGCTTGAAAGTTTGTTGCAAAGTAATAGGTACATATCACATGAATACATCATGACACTTACACAGTAGCCGTAACCATAAATAAAATGTTAGGGAGAGGTTGGGAAGCAAAGGATTTGGAAATCAGGGAAGAGGCAATGTCTTCAACAGGAAACGCATTCCTGTAACATTTCAGTGTTCTCAGCTAGTTGTGAGCAGGTAATAACTTCATATTTGGTATCTTATTTCGTACTAATTATAACTCACAGAGTTTGTGTTGTTTAAGTAAGTAGAGTTACATTTAAATGGAGAAAAAGAAAACTTGGGGCAAGTTCGGATTTTTTTTTTTTTTATTTGAAAGTCAAGGATTATTCCTGTCCTAGTTTTGGCAGGAGAATTAATTTAAAACTGGAGGGAAAAAGTTTATTATGTCACAGATACTGTGAAAGTTAAACTCAACAGTAATCAGTATGTTGTCAAAATACAGTTTTGTTTTGCTGTACTTTGCTACTGCTTGTTAATTACAAAAATCCTGAGAAAATACAAGAAAAAAGGTTGGTTTGAATGTACCATTTGACCAATAATGTTCTATTCTAGGGCAAGACAGTCTTATGACATGTGATACTGTCTTCTGTCAGAGTAGCTGTTGGCCTTGACTTGTCCAGATTCTTTCAGGTTTCATTGCTGAGTCTTTTTAAAAAATAACAAAAAAAAAAAACCACAAAAAAACCCCAAGCTTTGTTTTTGTAACAGAATGAAGGAATTACTTTCCCTTTCTTCCATTTTGACATTCTAATTCTTACATTACCTTTTGGCTTCTTTTCTCAAATGAGCTTGGTTGTAGAAGATTTGTTATTTTTCTTTCTTAAGCAACACTATCTCTCATTTGGTGGCCTATTACAAAACCAGAGTTGAATAAAGCCCTGAGTGCTTGTGTTCCTTGTATCAAATAGCATTTATCATACCTATATGTGTCTTCTGAACTACCTTGATAGAAGTGACTTTGATGCTTCTTGTGAAAATAGATCATTTTATAATGGGTAAATAGATGAAAATAAACAAATAAGCCTGACTACTAGATGAATAGACAGCAAACCACAGTTCATTTAGCTCAAAATAAACTCAAGTAAAAAAAGATGGAGAGAAAAAGAAGTGCTAATTGATGATTATTTGGCCTTTGAACTTAAAATCAGTTATGTCCTTAGTTCTCTTTGTTTTTTTTTCTCTCTGTACTCTCATGCTAGAAGTAATTGTTAAATTAAGAATCCTGGTGTTTGATCCAATTTACACTCATGAAAATGGTGTAGCAGTTTAGTTTTGTTGTATTAGTCTGTATTTTGCTGTTGTGTTAAATATCTCTTTCCTGTGTGTGATTCGAATCTTTAGGTTTGTTTACACAGCAGTCACAGAAATGCAGCAAATATAATTAATTAAGATTGGGTCTTGTACTGTCTGGATGTTCTGCTACCAGTACCCAATCTACTTTTTTTTAAATTAGATCAGATGTCAATATACCTACTTTGATTGTAAGATACTGTCTAGTGTGTTAGTTAATTATATTCCATAACTTGATGGGAGGAGGTGGCCAGAATCTCTGTATTGAGTATTTAAAAAAAATATTTAAAACTAAAATGATGTGTTGTCCAAAGTCTATCATAAAACAAGGGAGAAGAGACAAGACTTGCATGCTCGTATCTTGGCATATATATTTAAAATATAAATATGACACTAATGTCATTAGTGGCTTACGAACAAAATACAATACGTACTTTTCCCAAAAGGTTCCTCCTGGTGTTAAAAATGTTTCTACCGTTTTCATTTGAGATTCGATTCAAGAAGAATATTATGAAGCTGGTAGTCACTTAAAAATTTGAGGGTAACGGAATGTTGCATATACTTTTGCAGCTTCTAAACATCTCTGAAGTGCTTGTAACTAAAATTTTTCCAAGTGGAAAGTGTCAACACCCACACAGACTTCTGCATCTGTGTCAACAGTGTTGGTTATATATAATGCTTTAATTTTTGTTTTACTAAAAATTAAATCTTTTCTTGGGTTACGGTAGGTTTGCGTACACATCATCCGTAGGTAGCAATATAGGAAGTGCTGAGTTCCAATGACAGGAAATGCAGATAGTTCTTACTTCTTGACTCTAGTGCTTTCTTATTTAATATGTTACATAGAAAAATAATAATGCTTTCTCTTCCCCCTCCTCCTCTGGTTTTCTTTAGTGGACCAGATCTATCATCTAGCATCTCCTGCTTCGCCTCCAAATTACATGTATAATCCTATAAAAACATTAAAGACCAACACTATTGGGACATTAAACATGCTGGGTAAGTGGAAATCTTTTTTTCTTACTTAATTTGGTTAGATGTAGTGTAACCTGTACAGGGTTACTGGGGAGAGAGGAGGATGGAGAAAATGAGTTGTACGTTAAAAAAAGTTGTTTATTTAAGAAAAATATAAAGGTTAGGTTTTTTTCCCCTCTTTGAAGATTTTTGTACTTTTCCATGAAATATATTTGCAGATGAGCTATGACAATATCCGGGCTCAGCTATCAAAGTACAAGAACTTAGTGCCTGTAACTTGGCTGTGGAGTTTGCAGTAACTGTAGAAGTCACAGGAACAATTAAGAGCATCCTATAGCAAAGTTGTGTCCATGACTACGCTTCTCACTTTGACTGTGGATGATTCCCCTGTGAGTGACTGTTCCTTTCCACCACAGCAAATGTTGAACTAGATGGAACTGCATTGCCTTTATAAACCTCAAACATGAAGAGTACTGCACCCTCTTGTCCATGCCTTGGCTAGCAAATTCTGCAAGAACATTTAATGTCTAGCTTCATGCTAAATAATTACAAGGCAGCATTTTCAGCCTTGTTGGTTTTGGTGCTGGGAATGGGCCTATGAGAAGAAGGTGTCAAGTCATCACTACTTTTTCCTCCCATCTTTGATCTGTTTGGGCTATGCTGCACCTTGAACTGGGTGTCAGTGATCCTGAGTTATCGTGAGGCAAAAAAAATCCTCGGCGTTAGCTTGACTGAGGTTCTCATTTGAGTGATGCTTCAGTGAGTACACTTCAGAGACTTGGGTGATTTAGAAGCTGTTGAGGTATCAGACAGTTGTATGACATAGGTGAGTGACTTCTTTGGTGGGCCATGCCAGCTTGAAGGCCAGAAAGTCCCTGAAGTGCAGAATAATCTCAAGTGACAGATAAGGTCATCCAGGCAGTTTAAAGGGGCATAATGAAAGGAAGATTATTTTGTCCTGTGACATGTTCTTTGGTATAATTTTTTTTAAGTAGCTTATCTTTAGGTTATGGTAATCATGATAAAGGGTGTTGTTCCAAGATCCTGATTCCATAACTGGAATGGTTTATGCTTCCTTGGCTTTTATTTAGGGCGTAATATATTAAGTTCTTGGATCTTGGTTCAGTGCAGTTTTCAGTCCCAGAAGCAAACGCATCAAACATGTGGATGCTCCTCTGCTGTTTCGCAAGTTTTATAGCTTGGAAGTGAGAGCTATGGATGTGATTTAGAGCTAGGTTTATCTACTGTGAGAAATCAAATTCTCTTTAAAAACATGTAAAACAGAATCACTCTAGAGCAGTTAACATGACTGGAAGATTCTTGCTCTTGCTTTAATTATGTTCTTCTTTCCCTCCTGCCCAAAATTTAGGATTAGCCAAACGTGTTGGAGCACGACTGCTGCTGGCCTCTACATCAGAGGTATATGGAGGTAAGAAGGATAAAACACTGTGTAGAGCTCTTGCGATGTGACTATGTTAAAAGGGTATTTACAAACCTTTTGTCAGATGACAGAATGGTAGTTTTTCATAGAGTCATAGAGTACGTTGGAACGGAAGGGACCTTTAAAGGTCATCTAGTCCAACCCCCTGCAGTGAGGAAGGACATCTTCAACTAGGTCAGGTTGTTCAGAGACCCATCAAGCCTGACGTTGAATGCCTTCAGGGATGGGGCCTCTGTCTTAGTTTGATTTTTTGATGTGATGTAATTCTCACAGTTTGAAACGTGGGCTTCAGTACTTGCCTTAAATCTCTAGTCACGGTGGTGAAAGGAGACTGAAACTGTTATCTGTAAATTTCCTATGTCTTAGTTTGTCTCTTTTTCTAAAAAGCTTGTGGAGAAATTTTGCATTGGACTCTGATTAAAATCCAGATGCCGTAATGAACACCTATGAAGAAAGATAATTTCAGTAGCAAATTTGCATCTCTATTCCCAGTCATTTGTGAATTGTATTAACTGATAGAACTGCTAGCTTCAATACTCATCTATGTAGAAAGATAAAAAGCTTTGAGAGGAAGAAGCAAAGAATATACCTTAGGGAATACACTTGGGGTGAAATGATTTCTGTCAAGAAAATGTCTGTCAAAGCAAATGCCCAAGCAAGAGATTGTTAAGATGACGTGCCAACCAAATAAGTGGCTTGAGCATGTGCAGTGTTCCTACTACCTCCTTTGCCTTCGATTATCCATGGTCAGGCTCCACAGAGGAAAAATGTTAGCTCCAAGGAGTCTTCTGTAATTGAGCAAACTCCCTTCAGGAGCAAGTGACCAACAGGCAAAAAAGGCCCCAAGTTTTTGAGCCTCTTTGCTCTGCTGAAGTGGAAAACCTGAAGCTCCCATTATCAAGCTTTGTTGTGTCAGTAAATCCAACGTAGCAGGGAGAGTCTACTTAACGTTATACCTTGACTAAACAGGCAAAATACTTGTTCTGAAAAGTAAAGAACAGAAAATAAAGTCAGAACATATCGGTTAGCTATTTCCACAGGAGTTCTCAAAGCAGTGTTGTAAGACATTTCGAAGTGCTTCGTAGGGCTACTCTGCCAGAAAGGAGATGGAAACTGAAATGTCCTTTCAGTTCACTGCATCTTCTGAGACCTTTTAAAGAATGCTACAGGCTTTTATAATCATGTGAAACCTCTCTACATTTACCATTACTCTCTAGCTCTCGTGTGGCAGGCATAAAAACTGAAAAGGTTAATCAGAATTGACCATCAAAGTTGTTTCAAAAATTAGCCTGTAACACCTGAAAGTTTTGTGGTAATGTGTGTAAACTTCAGATCCGGTAAGAAGGGTATGGCAGCACAGGTAGCCAAGTGGGGAAATGTAACAAAGTGATTGTATTGTGTTAAGCATGTAGAGTACACACAGATTCCTGGGAGATTTTTGATTGAGTAGGGTTTTTAATAATCATGTACTTATGTACTGGGTCAAACCAAAAGATAGTCTAACCTGATTGCCTGTGCCCATGCTTAGGATAAAACAGAAGAAACAGCAAGTGCATCGCTCTGCTCTTTCTTGAGAAATGCAGTACTTCTCTATTTTGTCCATTTTTCTTTCCTTGTTTCTTTCTTTGTAAAACCTAAAGATGCTTCACTTGATTCCAAATGTAGGAAAAAGTGCTGCCTTCATAACCTATAATGTTTCCTCTGGATTACATTAGATAGAGAGTTGTATTTGTGCCCTTGAGGTAGTCTTAGCAGAGAAGACACAACTTTAACCCTCTGTTCACACACTTTTAGGGAAAGCGGGTGATGGCTGTTTGCTTGTATTCAGTTATCTCCCTAGTCTCACATTTTGCCTGTGTCATTTTCATGGTTCTAGTGAATACACTTTTAAGGAATGGTGTTAAAACTTAGTATTTTTTAAACTGCAGTTTGGAGAGAAGCTGTTGAATTGTATAACACCAGTGATGTACTGAAAGATTATTTATGTATAGTCACCTTTTTGATAGAAGATCCTTTAAGGCATTTTTGTTGTGTTTCTTTTTTCTCCATAGATCCTGAAGTTCACCCTCAAAATGAGGATTACTGGGGCCATGTGAATCCAATAGGTCCAAGAGCCTGCTATGATGAAGGAAAGCGAGTTGCAGAGACCATGTGCTATGCGTATATGAAGCAGGTATTAAACTTGTATCAGATTCAATGGATTTTCTCCAATTAATGAAGGCCAAATGTATGGCAAAAGTGAAATAATGTGTATTTAGGAGAAGGAAGGCAAAAGAGAATGTCTTGAGTACGAGTGCTAATACTGTAGCCGCACAATCTGTTTTCATTAATGCAAAAGTTTTATGGCTCCCATCTCGTGTTTTTTTCAGATGAGCAGTGTTCTTCAAGAAAATGTGCTTTAGTTGTCGTAGTAGATGTAATACATCTTTCAATATTGTAAATAGTTTTTAGTAAGGTCACCTCAGTTTAATCTGTCTAATTTGGGAGCCAGATAAGAATTGGTTTAATTTGATCTTGTGCTGAGAAATGCTTTGCCGAATGGGGCTATTAGTGATAAATGTGGAATGCTTAGTTAGCGTAATTGAAATTAGAATATACAGGTAAAAATTAGGAAGTTCTTTAATGAGTACTTGTATAGGAGCAATGTATTAGTGTGTCTTAAAATTATGTAGGTGTAAATGCAGACCTTTACAGAAGTTATGAATACGTAGCTATGTAATACCCTTTTCCAGACCAATACAGTAATGTGAGGATAAAAACGCAATTTTAAATACATTTGTGAAATGATACTTACAGTTTCCTTGGATTTCATAATCGCCAAGTAGAAATTCATCATTAACTAACCCGACGTCTACTCTTTACCTGTATGTGAATCTTACTTAATTGCTGTTCAGTTACTCTCTGGAAGACTCTTCAATAGAAAATGTGGTGCACTAAATAAAATCACATCTTTATTTCTTGGTGTTTGGAGCCTTAATATGCAAAGGTATACATCAAATGTATATTCTGTAAGATTTTAAACCTTTAAATGATAAAATACTAAGAGCTTTTTAAAACCTTGAAAAAGGAATTAAACTTAAGTGATAGGACTTCAAGGATGGTATTTTGGTACAGGGGTTGTAGTAATTTTCTCTTATCTCTTCTGCCAGAGAAAGAAGGCAGAGGTTTGTTCTCTTTTAAATCATTTAAGTTTCAACATGGTGGCACTGCTTTCATTCAAGATGATGTCTTTTATACTTCACTGCAGCAAAATATTCCTCATGGGTCTGGAAATCCATTTGCAGTCAAAAATTGTAGTTTTTATGAGAAGTTCTTGTGCTTAAGGTATTGAATTTTTTGCACGTTTGTGGTGCGTGCTGCAGTATTTTAGAAGGGCAAGACTGTAGGTCATTTTGAAAAATCATAAGCTGTATCTTAAAGCTGCAGGATGAGTCATGATACTGTCCTATAAATTTTATGCAGGATTTACAAAGGATAGTAAAGGTTTGTAACGTGGAACTGCAGTGCACACATACATTAAGTACGCACTCATGATGCAAACGAGCTTTCTGTCCCAGGGACAACTCTGCTAGATATTTCTCATACTTTATTACGGCTTAGTAAAGTCTGCCCAAGCTTGTCTCACATTCGGGTATATTCTGAGACGCTGTTGAGCTGGTTTTTTTCCAGAGTTTAGATGATATGCTGTTATTAGTGGAAGAACATATTTTGCTGATGGAAATGTCTGACAACTTGTATGAAAATGTGTTGTGCTTTTAAGAGGGTTTTCACATAGGAGTGACCTAGCCCAAAACAATTGGATTTACAGGGCTTTAGGCTAAAATATTTTTAGAATCTTCTCAGCTTCAATAAAACAAAGAAACAAGAAAACTTAATTCTGGATGTTTTGTGAGATTTATTTTTTTTGTTATTTTTCCCAAAGATTTCCATCATTGTTAGATGCCTTAAATACTTAATCATATTTTCAAAAAAATATAGAAATTAACTTCCGTGTTATACTTTCAGACAGGCTGTTTAAATCAGAACAGTTCCTCAATCTAGTCAAAGATTACTCTTTATTAACAGTTGTCAGAGTTCTACAGTAGCCTATTCTGACCCAGACCTTTTTGATGCACTCTTTGCTGCTGTCAGCATTGTTTTGTTCACTTATTTTGACCCTATGAATTAAGCATTTCTTGACTTTATCTGCTCTTTACAACTGCTGTCTTTCAGTAAGTCCAGTATTATTTCCTTATCAAGGAGCCCAAGGGCAGTGGTAGCAATATATATAAGCATCTGCTTCAAAGGAGAGGTGGGCATTGAAATATTTGCTGGAGAAGTGCAGGGCTCACAAATTCAACAGACGTGCACATTCAAAGGACGTTGCACAAGTTCATCTCATACCACGTGAGGCATGTGAGCGTATGGTTTAGAAGATATTTGCTATAGGCTTCTGGGAACAGCTCTCCCTCCATAAATTCATGGAGGAGTGTACAATACACACAGAGAGAATTGCCTAGATTGTAAAAGACCTTTAAGGTGATTAATCCCAACCATTAACCTAATGCTGACAAGTCCTCAACTAAACTGTATCCCTAAGCACTATGTCTATACAAGTCTTTAATACCTCCAGGGATGAGGACTCCACTCCCTGGGCAACCTGTTTCAAGGCCTGATAACCCTTTCAGTAAAGAAATTCTTCCTAATATCCAGAGTAAAGCTTCCTTACACAACTTTGATGCCATTTCCTCCTGTCCTGTCACTTGTTGCTTGGTTGAACAGACCTCTCTATGACCTCCTTTAAGGCGCTTGTAGAAAGTGATATGGTTTCCTCCAGGCTAAACAACTCCAGTTTCCTCCTCAGCCACTCCTCATAGAATTTGTGCTCTAGGCCCTTTGCCAGCTTTGTTGCCCTTCTCTGGACCCACTCTAGTACTTCAATATCTTGCTTGTAGTGAGAGGCCCAAAACTGAACACAGTAGTTGAGATGCAGCCTCACCAGTGCTGAGTACAGGGGTAAAACCACTTCCCTGGTCCTACTGGCCACACTATTCCTGATACAGGCTGGGAGGGTGTTGGTCGTTTGGGCACACTGCTGGCTCGTGTTCAGCCGGCTGTCCATCAACACCCCCAGATCCCTCTCTGCCTGGCAGCTCTCCAGCCACTCCTCCCCAAGCCTGTAGCGCTGCAAGCACAAGGCCCGACATTGGGCCTTATTGAAACTCACACAGTTGACCTTTGTCCATAGATCAAGTCTGTCTAGATCCCTCTGTAGAGCCTCCCTACCCTCCAGCAGATCAATACTTCCACCCACCTTGGTGTCATCTGCAAACTTACAAAGGGTTCACTTGATTCCCTTCATCCAGATCATTGATAAAGGTGTTAAACAGGAGTAGCCCCGGTACTGAGCCCTATAGAACACCACTTGTCACGGGCTGCCAACTGAATTTAATTTCATTCACCACCACTCTTTGGGCCTGACCATCCAGACAGCTTTTTTACCTAGCTAAGTGTATGCCCGTCCAAGCCATGAGCAGGCAGTTTCTCCAGGACAATTATGTGAGAAATGGTGTCAAAGACTTTACTACAATCGAAGTAAACATCCACAGCCTTTTCCTCATCCACTAAGAAGATGACCTTGTTGTAGAAGGAGATCAGGTTTGTCAAGCAAGACCTGCATTTCATAAACCTATGCTGACTGGGCCTGATCACCTGGTTGTCCTGCATGTACTGCATCATGATACTCAGTATGATCTGTTCCATCAGCTTCCCCAGCACCAAAGTCAAACTGATAGGCCTAAAGTTTCCTGGATCCTCCTTCTGGCCCTTGTAGATGGGTGTCACACTGGTTAACTTCCAATCTGCTGGCACCTCCCCGGTTAGCCAGGACTGCTGATAAGTGATGGAAAGTGGCTCGGTGCGCACCTCTGCCGGCTCTCTCAGAACCCTTGGGTGGATTCCATCCGATGCCATAGGCTGGTGTCCATTGATGTGGAGCAGCAAGTCACTGACCATCTCTTCCTGGATTGCAGGGGGATCATTCTGCTCCTGGTCTCTGCCTCTGAGCTTGGGGATCTAGATTCCCAGAGTACAACTCGTCCTATTGCTAAAGACCGAGGGAAAGAAGGCATTAAGCACCTCGGCCTTTTCCTCATCCTTGATCCCTGTGTTTCCTCCTGCATCTAATACAGGGTGGAGACACTCCCTGGACTTTCTTTTGCTGCTAATGTATTCATAGAAACATTTCTTGTTGTCTTTTAAAGCAGAAGCCAGTTTAATTTCTGTCTGGTCTTTCTTCCAGTTTTCTCACTCCATAGCCCCACAATATCTTTGTAGTCGTTGTGTGTGGCCTGCCCCTTCTACCAAAGGCCATAAACTCTACTTTTTTCCCTGAACTGCAGCCAAAGTTCCTTGTTCAGTCTTCGCTGCTGCCTCATCTTTGGGTACATTGGGACAGCCTACTCCTGTGCCTTTAAGACTTTCTTCTTGGAGAGTGTTCAGCCTTGCTGGAGCCCTCTGCCCTTCAGGACTGCCTCCCAATGGACTCTGTCAAGCTGTCTCCTAAAAAAGTCAGTCTGCCCTTTGGAAGTCCAAGGTGGCAGTTCTGCTGCCCCCCCTCCTTGCTTCTCTAAGAATAGAGAACTCAGTCGTTTCATGATCACTAGATGGCCTCCAACTGTCACATCACCTGCCAGTCCTTCTGTTCACAAAGAGCAAGTCAGTTGTGCTCCTTAGTGTGAGTGGAAGCACCTGCTTCTGAAACTCTCTTTTCAAGCTGCTGAAAGCTTTAGTTCTGTGACCTGTTCATCTGGGAACTAAGTTGCATTCAGTGACTCAGACCTCTTCAGAATTCCTTTGTTTTCATCTCTTTTCTAGTGCTTGCTACCACTCCTTCTGGAAAACCTTTTTCAGTTCACTCAATTGCTGTAATGTAATGCAAGGCATAGATTTGAAACTGTCATAATAACTTGTCGATCTGTTTTTTCCATTCTGTACTCTTATCTTTGTTACTATTCTGCCTATCCTTCCCTGTCCTTCCAAGCACTTTGTTTTGCATAAACTTTATATACAGATGTGTGACTGGCTGTAGACTTGACAAAATTGCCCAGCTAGTAGTTCTTCCCTTCCACAAAACTTCCATTTTGCTAGGTAAGGTAATACTATTATTTGCCAAAATGAACAGCATTTTCCAAG